CAAAATAAATTATTTAAAAGATTCTTTATCAAATATAATATTTGTTTGTAGATGTGTGTAAAATGTTTACAGCAGAGATATATATTGTACATAATGCTGCTTTTCCTTTTCGAACTAGCTACAAAACAACTGATGCGATCTTCCTATATGACACCCAGCTAACCCGTTTCTGCAGCAACTAGCATGAAACATCAATCACTGCATCCAATTACCAAGGAAAATTAATGTGGGGCAAACAGCCGAGTTAAAATAGTGGTCATTTGGTCATTACTGAGTGGACAGAGCACTAGATCACAACACGGCGTTCATGGCCACACAAATGACTCATTCGGATACGTACCCCATACGGGTACAGTACCCCACCGATGTGATTTTGTTTTTGGCTGACATTTCGGAGTCGGGGTGCTCGGCGTCTTTGTCTGTGCGGTGGCTGTACTCAGAACAGAATGCTGCACACCCCTTGTGTTGTGCCTGGAATAGTACAGGATTGAGCAGGGTGATGTAATGCTCTTGCAGCAGGTGCCTCTGATTGGCTCGCACCTTCAAATGCCAACTCGCACTGTTCAGGCAGTGACGGTACGATGCCCACATCTCAAATATCTCCCGAGGAATACGCACAAACAAAGACCAGCTATCTCGAGCAACCCTCTGCAACTTAATGTGGGTGTAAGGGGAAAGGCTGCAGACAGGCATAAACGGTGGTTGCATAAAACAAAGCTGTCAATAAATCTAACAGGACTGCAGGGCCTGTCAGTCAGGTTTGATTGTGCCACAGCTCTCTGTGCTGACTACGGACGAAATAAAATGCAATATAAGCAAGTTTAGAGTAATATCAGAGACGGGGTGATGTCGGACAGAACGGAAAGGGCAAAGCACACATTTGTTGAGTTTGGACATGAATAATAAGATTAAATTTAGATTAAAACCAAATATTTCACCATAACAGTTATGGTGGCATTCAACCAAAGAAGTGAAACAAGACATTATATAAACTACCCTCTCATTTATTAGACATTTAAATTACTATATTTTAAAGGAATAGTTCTTGCTAATGAGGAACAAAAGAGAAGTTTAGCAGAATAACACTTCTGTTTTTCATAAAAAGAAAATGAATGGTGACCAGGGGTTTTCAAGCTACCAAAATAAATGTATTTAATACAGATTGTATGCAGTTCTGAATATCTCATTCACATTTGCACCTATTCAGATATGGTGCATCAAGATATTACATCCGACTTTGAATATAAGTGCATATTCAAATCGCAAAGGAGATTTGTGACTTACAATGCACTGGGAATCAAACCCATGACTTTGCTATTGATATACTCTACTTTTTGAAGTACAGGATGCCTGTAGCTCTACCATTTTTGTCAGTTTCTATCACAAAACCATTATCTGACATCCAATGACTTGGAATATAGTGCAATAGTTGTACTGACTACTATTATGTTACTTTAATGGTGCTTTTTGGAGCATGACAGAACAGCCCTTGGTCACTATTCGCTTTCTCTGTATGGAAAAGAGCAGCGTGGACATACTTCTAAACATCCCTTTTTGTGGTCTACAGAATAAAGAAAATCAAACAGCTTTGTTTGGACTGACATGGACATGCGTAAATGATAACAATAATGTAATTTTTGTGAACTAAGAAAATTTCTAGAATAAGGGCCTGTAATGTTCTGTTCTCCAGTGCATAAAGCTTTGGAGATTAAATGAACAATATTTCATCCCCTGCATGATGAGGTTTTGCATTCACAGACGGCCAAGACTTTACAAAGGGTGGAAGGATGGACCAAAAGTGGCAATAATAGTCCTCATTCAGACTGTCCTGTGAACTGCACTGTTGTGGCCAAGCAGAGGGACTTGAACAGAAACTGATGACCTCCAGCTGTGCTCTTGTCCCAGTATCATGAACATGATGAATGTCTCTAAATGTCTTAAACAAAATAATTTGCCTGTATGACAATATTACAATGCTTTTAATCGCAATTACAGCATGAAGCTCCAAGTCAGTCACATGAAGTAAACACATTTGGTGGGAGGGACCAACTTAGATGCGAGTTGCATAGAAATGGAACACTAACTAAATGCAAAAGGATTCATATTCTCTCTATATAACAAATTACATTGATTTTGTATGTTAATTAGACCACCAACCATCATAAAGACGCGTTTTGAGGGTGTGTAATACATTGCAAAACAAAAACAAAAACAAAAACAAATTGGGGAAACAGCAAAGTGGGACTTACCTGAGCAAAATAAAGGTTGAGCAGACACAGAGTGAAGAACTGCAGGCAGACTGGAAAACAATACAGGAGCCAGAACGGCAAAGGCTGAAGCTGGTTTGCTTGAACAACATTTTTAAAGTAGAAAGAGAATAGTGTCGTCCTCAAAGCCGACCAGAGCAAACACAGAAAGAGAAAAACACTCTGGTAGCTGAAGCGCTTGTGTCCGTAGTGCAGAATCAACCAGAGCTGCAGGTAAACAAACACGAAGAGCAGCGAATACAAAACCGTGTAGAGAACCGTGAGACCGAGCTGCACAGACGGGGGAACCGCAGCCTGGATCAGTTCGGCGGAGGATGAGTCCGTCCAAACACTGACACTGACCTGGTTTTCCAGTAAAAACAACATATCGACGGGATGCTCGTTATCACGTCGACTTATCCACAACGCTCTATCGTTTTCCTTCCCATGAAACTTTTCATGCAGACGTTTTGAAATTAGGAGCAATTGAATAACGTCAAACTTAATTACAAATGACTATATGAGCTGAAAATGAAAAACTACAGGCTGCCCTAAGTTGTTGTCGTATGGAATAAACTTTAAAGCAATTCTCGGATGTTTATAAGCAAGATGTGGAAAACAAACAATTAAAAAATAACAGCAAAGTCCCCAATCTCTGCAAAGCAGCTCCCTCCGAACTAAGAAAAACCAACTCTAGCGCTAGAAAAGAAGCGATCAGCTGGCTAGTGTTGCTGCTCTGGCCCCGCCTACTGACCAATGGGAAAAGGCTAGAATCTGACGCGATTCTGTCGCCATGTTGGCTCTCGGCTGAATAGTGCTGAATGGAAAAAAATCTGTTACATTCGAGCCAAAATGAGAGGCTTTTCAAGTACGTTCGCCGAAAAGCAATTTACACTGCCGCCTACTTTTTTGAGAAACCAATCATTTGTCTTTTGGGTGTCCTGCCTCTGGATCTCTACGTTTTTAATTTTCAGAGTATCGGCATTGTTGTTTTGAAATAATGCTTGGACGTTTGCGCATGTTGTTTTTGTGAGCTTGCAGTGGTTACATTTGTAAGATTTTATTTTAATAGCTAACATAACAGTATGCAAAATAATTGGATAATTTGTTTATAAATTGACGGGTGTACAAAGCTGTGGTTTATGCATGCAATGCATGTTTTGTAAGAAAGGAATGAAAAGCAAATAAGTATAGGGAAAAAAAATCCCCAAATCTCTGCAAGGCAGCTCCATCCGAGCAAAGAAAAACAACTCGTTAAAAAAAAGCGATTATCAAATGTAGCGAGCGATCACGCTCGGGCCCCACGTACTGGCCAATAGGACGAAGCTGGAAACCAACGCGCCTTAGTCGCCATATTGGCTCTCAGTTGAAATAGCGGTGGATAGAAACAGGCCGTTACACTGGAGCCAAAATGACAGGCTTTTCAAACGACTTTCGCTGCTGAGCCATGAGCCCTCCGCCTACTTCATTCTCATTGGTTTTCTCACTGGATATCTTTGTATTTTTAGCTTTCTGATTGGTGTTCAGCTCACCGTTAAACCCTCCCCACAAATTTAATTGGACAACGTCTGCGCATGTTGTTTTAGTGTTCGAGGATGTAGATTTTCAGTACTTACATTTGTAACACTGACCGGTAAACATTAACCTATTGGATTTTGTATAGTCAAAATGACTATATATATATATTTTTTTTTAATAGGTTGCCCTTAAAAATGTAATTTGTTAGGGTATGACTGATGCATTTAGTAGCACAGCCCAGGCGAGTTGTTTTGACAGAATATGGATATATTCTTTGTGTACCAGTTTTTACTGGGCTCATCCTTAATATGAACTAATGTAAATGGATGTAAGTTAAAGGTTCATTAAGTAGGCACCATGTGCATCGTCTATTTTATTGCGTTTTTATTTAGCCTAACATCAGAGCAATGTTCCTCCAAACTGACAGAAGATTCCAGTCAGAGCTTCATGGAGAGGATGCACACAGGGAAGACGTCCTTTATGTACTTTGGAAATCATGGTGAGACTTTGATAAATGTGTTGCAGATGATTGCAGAACCGTTATCACAATGTGCAAAGCTAAGCAAGAGTCATTTGTCAGATCAGCACATCAGCGTATCTGCTGAATCAATGCATTTGAGGTGTCAAAAAACTTATAAAGTTAATTATTAAAGTTCATAGGCTATTACATAAGCTATAGTTCTACTTGCAGTCAATCCAACCATCAAACTGTTCATGGAGCAGCTTGAGATGTCAGCTGATGCCCTACAGGACTATGGAATATCTGTTGGGAAGGTGAGCAAAATCTCATTTCAGGTCTCACCAGAATGTCAGAAGAAGGAGCTTTCTGATGTCTAGTTATTTTGTACATGATGGTTGACTATAATGCAGTAATATCAGCTTGAATGACTGATTGTTTTTACAGGTGAACTGTTCTAAAGATGCTATAGCAAACTACTGCACAGGAGAAAAGCTAATGACCAAGGCATACTTGTTCAGGTAAACGTTTATGAACTTTACCCTCACATCATTATATACATTCAAAATGTTGGGGTTAGTAAGATTTTTGAAAGAAATTATTTAGCAGGGATTCATTAAATTGATTCAAAGTTACAGTGAAGTCATTTATAATGTTACAAAAGATTCTGTTTCAAATAAGTGTACTTTTGAACGTTCTGTTTATCAAAGAATCCTGAAAAATTAATGGTTTCCGCAAAAATATTAAGTTGCACAACTGTTTCCAACATTGGTAATATTAAGAAATGTTTCTTGAGCAGCAAATCAGCATATTAGAATGATTTCTGAAGGGTCATGTGACACTGAAGTCTTGTGTAATGGCTTCTAAAAAAAATTCCACTTTGATGTAACATTTAAAAATATATTAAATATAAAACAGTTATTTGTTGTTGTTAAAAAATGTTATAAAAAATTTTTTTTTGTTATATAATGTACAAATATTTCACAAAATTACTGTTTTTACTTTATTTTTGATCAGATAAATGCAGCCTTAAGACACTTCTTTTAAAAACAATTCAAAATCTTTCATTGTTGAAACATGAGATATTTAGCCAAATGTTTATGTATATTTTTTGCCAAGTATATATTTTTTTGACAAATATAAAAATGATCCGTTGACTCCATACAGGTTTGGAACGGCCCAAAAGCTTTTATTATCTTTTATCATTCCAGAGGCTCTGAGGTCCTGAGGAGTTTCGACATCGATACCGTATTTGACGTCAATGCAATTGTTTCTCATGTGCTTTTGTGAGTTCCTTTATTTAAAACTTTTACAGTAGCACCACCAACATTTAACGATGTGGATATTTCGGCTGGTGGAACTGCAGTGATGACCTTGTCCAGTTGACCTTTGAATGTGTGCCTTATTTCCTCCATAAAGCTCTGTCCTCTTCAATGAAGTCCGTTATGTGCACACACCTGCTGAGCTGCTGCGTGTGGAGAGCGCAGCCAAACAAAACAGTGACATTGTGGTCAGCCACATACCAGTGCTTGGCCTTCCAGGTAGGATCTCTATATTCTCTATAGTCCATTGTCTTGGTTGGAATGAAGCAATATTATATATCTCTTGTTGTTTTTTTGTCGGGATAGAGCACCGAGCTTTGATGGAGGCAGCGTTTGTGTATGGAACCAAATACCAGTTTGTCCAGACGACTGGCACTTTGGTTCTAAAACATATGGGGTAAGTTTTATATTACTCTAAGGAGTAGAGGTCGACCGATAGTGGATTTTACCGATACCGATAGCTAGGTTGGACCACACAGGCCGATACCGATTAATCAACCGATAGTTTTTAAAATGGTAAACTAAAACAGAGCTTTACTATTTAAAAAAGGTCGCACTGTAGAGCCCTGCGATGCGTTCTCGGAGAAGTCACACACCAGACGCGTCACTTTCAATTCCAGCAGCGGTCTAAAACTGTTTATTTAATCACCAAACGGACATAAGTTTGCTTCAAGAATGAACAATGTGGCATAAATGAGTTTGAAGTTCGGTGTTTAAAAAAAAAAAGCTCTCTATATGAAGCATAAAGACTTTATTAGAGCCACAGAAAGAGCACAATACATAATTCATAGCCTAGGGTGAAGTCATTACGTACATTAACAATGATTTGGGACAAATATAATGTAATTTAATGGAAAACTATGTGAATGGCGCTCTGTTCCGTGGCAGAATTTTCTGTCGGCTGCATTTAAATGCAGGTTTGAAGTTTCCCGCTCTGTGCAGCGCGCAGTGTCACGTGTCAAAACAAACAACACGTGCTGTTAAGTGATTTCCGCCTCTAGAGGCCGCTCTCGTACTGTATAATGGCAGCGGACCCTTCTCGGCAACGGACGCAACCCGGAAAACTATCGGCATTGATTTTTGCCGATAACCGATAGTTCCGCCAATCAACTATCGGTGCCGATTAATCGGCAAAACCGATGAATCGGTCGACCTCTACTAAGGAGCAATATAATTTCAGTCCTTATTAAGGTACTCAAATCATAAAATGAACAGAGATGTGATGCATGACATTTTTTATGTTGCCATAGACAACTATAATTATGAAAAATATGGCCACAAGGTGTTCCCAAAGTTGTTCTAAACTTCTCATCACTTGTTTGGATATCCAACGACCAGTGTTATTTTTGTATCATTGCTATTCTATTATAGTTTTTGTTGATATTTTATTGTAATATTTTATGTTTTCACTTAAATTTTAGTTTAGATTAGTAATTTTGTCGTATGATTAGTCATTTTTTATTTTTTTTTAAAACGTGGTTTTATTTTTAAATAGGTCTGTGTGGTTTTTAATAATTTTATTTATTAGTTTTAGTTTATTAAAATGAGAAATGTTGCCTTGTTGAATATTTTGTGGTCGTTGACAGGGTTATTATAGTTAACTAAAACCATAAAATGTGATCACATTTTACATTTGTAACCACATTTTTTTTTACTTGAAAAAGTAATATATAACAGACATAAATTAAATAAAATATAGCAAAAACCTTATATTATTTCAGTTTGTTTATTTTACGTCAAGTAGCAAAAAATGTGATTACAAATTTAAAATCTGGTTTAATTTATGGTTTTATTTAACTATAAAAACCTTGCCAACTACCACAATATATGAACATTAATTGCATTAATAGACATTTAGACAATTTGATATAAATGATAACAAATTCTTCAAGTACTTCAGTGCCTCTCAAATGAATCTTCTGTTCTCCTTCACAGGGTCGTCGATCCCTCTTCTTCTCAAGCACGGCTGTGGTTTCTGCACTGTAAAGGTGTGTCCAGGCGGTCTGATCCGTGTCCCAGCATTCCAATGAGGAAACCACTCAACACCATCAACATACACACCTTCCTGCAGCTGATGGAAGCACCTCTAGTGGTGAGAAAGCATCTTCAACTTCCTGTCATTAATACCAGATATAATAAAAAGGAGTTGGAATTCTGATTCTCACTTCAGTTCCATATCTGTTATGTTTGATTGTGGACTTGTTTTTTGGCAGACAGAGGCAGTGCTGGACCCGTCTGACGTAGATGTGGTTCATATGCACCTCGGTGTGCCCGTGCTGTATCTGTTCTCTCAGCCACAAACCCAGCAGCTGGACCGGGCCACCGCTCAAACTCTCGCCCTGCAGCTCCGCGGGGAGGTCGGAGTAGTGCTCATTCACAGGTACTGACGACGGCAACAAAAACAATACTGCATTTCATATATTCATGTAACAAGATTCCATGGGCAACACTTTACAATCGGCAATTAGCTAAAGCATTGGATGTTGTGAACCAAAAAATATTTTTTATTACTCTTATTATTTTTATTATTTATTTGTGACCCTGGTCTTAAGTGTCAATTTTTCGAAATTGAGATTTATAAATCACCTGAAAGCTGAATAAATAAGCTTTCCATTTTTTAGGATAGAACAATATTTGGCCGAGATACAACTATTTGAAAATCTGGAATCTGAGGGTGCAAAAAAAATCAAAATATTGAGAAAATCGCCTTTAAATTTGTCCAAAGGAAGTTCTTAGCCATGCATATTACTAATCAACAATTAAGTTTTAATATATTTATGGTCGGAAATTTACAAAATATATTCATGGAACATGATTTTTACTTAACATCCTAATGATTTTTGGCATAAAAGAAAAATCTATTATTTTGACCCATACAATGTATTTTTGGCTATTGCTACAAATATACCCCAGCGACTTAAGACTGGTTTTGTGGTCCAGGGTCACATTTAGTTTTTTATTATTGTCTGTGTTAATGTTTATAATCTTTCACATTTTATAAATAGCCTATTATGTAATATATGTTATATACAAATACAGTATATAAAACCTTATATATACTGTATAAGAGATATGTTATACTTAAAGTATATAAAACTAACTGGTCAGATGTTTTTTTTTTTTTTTTTTCAAAAATACAATAAAAAATAAATATTGTGAGAAATTATGATTTCAAATATTTGTTGTCTATTTGAACATATTTTAAAACATAATTTATTCCTGTGATGCAAAGCTGAATTTTCTTT